GGCCCCCGCCCCATTCAGCAGCGGGCCCACGTTTTCCCTCGGCTTCCTTTTGCTATTGATGTATTTGAAGAACCCCTTCTTGTTGCCCTTGACATCCTTTGCCAGATTTAATTCCAACTGGGCCTTAGCCTTCCTTGTCGCATCCCTGCACACTCTGACAATGTCCCTGTATTCCTCCCAAGTGGCCTGTCCCCTTTTCCACATTCTGTGTACTTCCTTCTTCTGTTGGAGTTTTGCCAGGAGTTCCTTGCTCATCCATGCAGGTCTCCTGCCCGCTTTGCTGGGCTTCTTACTCAGAGGGATGCACTGTTCTCTGGAGGAGGTGATACTTGAATATTAACCAGCTTTCTTGGACCCCTCTTCCTTCTAGAGCCCTACCCCGTGAGATTCCCCTAAGTAGGTCCCTGAAGAGGCCAAAGTTAGCTCTCCAGAGGTCCAGGGTTGTGATCCTACTCATTGCCCTGCTCCCTCCTCATAGGATCCTGAACTGCACCATCTCATGGTCACTGCAGCCAACACTGCCCCTAACTTTCACATCTCCAACTAGACCTTCTTTGTTTGTTAGTACAAGGTCTAGCAGCGCACCTCTCCTTGATGGCGTCTCCACCACCTGTGTCAAGAAATTATCATCAATGCTTTGCAGGAACCTCTTTGACTGCTTGTGTCTAGCTGTGCTAAATAATTCCAAAACAGTGATTTGTACCAATAAACTACTATCTTAGGGTTATTTTTAAAAAATCACATATATGAGAGTTAAGAGATTATACATGCACAGATGTTGACACAATTGAACAGAGATCTTTAAATGATGCAATTGAATTGAAATAGGAAAGGCCAGTGGGAATTTGGACTGTAAATGCATTGTAGCATATATGATTTATATCTGTGTTTATATAATGCTGTTCCTACTATTATGTATTGTGCAATGTAGGATAAATATGAAATCATCACGGATTTCTTTATTAGTTAAAAAAAATAAACTAAAGCATTCCTTTCATATATAGTTCTTATAAATAGATTAATCTTTTTCTTCTTCTGTAGTATTTTGCTTAATACTGAAGCTTTTGGCTACTCCTATAAGCTGCTGGTTTAGCATGAAATGAATTTTACACGTTGATCTGAGAATCAGACTATTTAAAAATGTCTTGAGATGGGTAGAGAGATCACATACAATTGTGATTTAAAATGTATTTTGTTAATGTGCTCAGTATCTGATAAATAAGGTGCTATGAAATATACTAAGAACTAATCCTTGGAATAGTCTCTCTTGATTAATAACAAATCATTTCTGGATTTCTGCTGCAATGAGTTCTTACAGTTCTTTGAATGATACTTTAACAAAGGTTTCTGGGATGCTTAGAATGTAAATGTAATATAATGCATTGTACAGAGCATTTACAAGTGCCTGAAGTCATTTATTCAGCTCTTTAAAGAAGTGTAAAACCCTGGTAAAGAGATGTCATTAGACAGTTTGCTGCTGGCTCCTCTATCAAATAATTTCCAAGCTGAGTAGATCTTCTGAATTCTGAGCTTCTGGTACTTTCCATTATTGAAGCAACAAAAGCATATGCAACTGGATTTCTTTGTTCTTTTATAGTTGAGTTGAACAGGGCCATATCACAAGCATGCCTGGGCTTCTTGTAGTTCAGCTGTGTGGTGCTGTTATGCCCCCAGTTCCTGTCGTGACTCAGCCACATTGTCACCAAAGCCTGAAGAGTGTTCACACAATCTCACTTCAGCATAATGCGTAACGAACCTCAAATGTTGAATGCTGCTGGCTTGCAGGATAAGGAATTTCCACTTCAAGTCATTGTCTCTGAATAGGATTGTAAAACGTGCCTATATTGTTCATCCAGGAACAGAAATAGGTGAATTTGTAAAAAACAAGCTAATTTGCCATATTTTTATCTGCTAGTTACTTCCGCATCTATTGCTTTTATGGACTCAAAGTCCTTCAGGGAGTGTGACAAATCCTGATTGCATTTTCCACTTAGAGCTTTATTTGTTCACAACTGTGGAGAGCAGAAAAACTTGAATAGTCACTGGAGATTTGACTAGCTATGTGTGTGGCTACTTAAGAACTAAGGCAGCTTTTGATTTACGTTCATTTCCAACTGCTTCAGCTTTAGCTGTATTTTTATTATGCTGTCTACTTACGGTCTGCGCACAACCTACATTGGTAAATCTCCATTTCCTCATCTGGAAAATGTAAACAACAACCATAGAGTAGCTGCATAACTAGTTGGATAGCTGCTTTACAAACTATGTTTTCTGTTTCATAATTTGCTTCTTCCTTTCTCTCCAGCTGATCTCCCCTTTATCCTAGCTTTCCTACCCTTTTATTTTCGTCTTGCATTGTATGGTTTTGGGACTGCAGAAGTTAAGAACAGCTCTGGCTACTGAAAGAACTGCTGTTTGCTTCTTCCCATGTACTGGGATAAACAGTCCAGAGAAGGGATTTCAGGTGTCAGGGGCAGTAGCTCTACAAAGCTTGTAAGGTTTCTTGTCTGCCAGTCACATTTTGTTTTGCTTCCAATGCTGCAACGTCTGTGAATCTTACTGCAGCGTGTGCCTAAATTATTAGACCTCCAAATTAGAAACATACATAATATGCAGCATATAGTCACTTTGCAAAGTTGTTTGGATCACGTGAGTTTGAATCATTTCCTTTGAGACATTCTCTAAATGTTATTAGAGGAAGCTGCATGTTTGAAAAATTGAAGCTAGCTTGATCAAACCCTGCATTTGCAATT